CACATTCAATTGAACTAAACTATGCATGCCTATTCAAATATATTTACACATGGCTTGTGTATATCGTAAATATACATATATATATATATTATTCATACCTTCGGTGTATTGGACCCAAGCAGACTTTCACATCAAATTTTGGGGTAAAAAAGTGCGCCTTATATATCGAAAAATACGGTAATTTAAAAACTTTAATGAGTAAATAAAAGAAGTTTAATAATAATAATAAATACTTAGTTTGTTTGCAGTTAAGCACAAAGCTACACAATGGGCTATCTGTGCTCTTCCCACCACTGGTATCAAAACCCAAAACCGGGTTTCTAGTGACATACTGTTTTGCAACTGGGGGCATTTCTAAATAAAAAATACCTGTAACCCTAAAATTAAAATTTACAAATCGATGAATACAGATTGCTGGACTATAAGTTTGCATTTGGCTTTAATTGTAGTTGCATAATGTTTTTTACCTTTTTAATATGTTTCATCAAAGTATATATATCATATTGTTATAAACTAACTCCAATTATTCAGTATATATTAGTTTTACTAAATAAATGTGAAAGATAAGCATGAGTAAATAAATTCTATTGCAAAAGTACCTTATCTTGGAATATTATTGTAAGACTTTTTTCTTTGTTTAGTTAAATATAACAGTATGTTTCCTTATAGAGAAATTAATTGCACCTTTTATATGTCATCCTGCATGCTAACTTATCTATCAAAATTCCCTTACAGTATTCATTTAGTTACTAGAAAAGTATTAAAAAACTCTTTATCCTTAGTACAACAATTTTAAAATAGACTAACAAGTAAGTTTAATTCAAACTTGAATGGATACTTTAAATAATTAATACACTTTAAGGAAGTTTACCATTATATACTTTAAGTCATCAACTATAAAGCCACTATTACTAAGTTTTAAAAATGGTCACTAACTTAAAAAAATGGAAAATTCCTGTAACTTAAATAATGCCTTAAATCTTGTTTTCTACAGAAGAGAAGTTTGTTTAACCACTAGAAAATGTGTATATTTAATTTTATAACTTTTAAAAAAAAAAGAGAAAGATATCCAGCAAATCAGTGATGTCACAACTCGATAATTGCCAACTGCTGAGAGGCATAAACAGATAATAATAACTTTGTATTCACAGCTTAACAAAATTCAGACTGATAATAAATCTAAAGTAGATACAATATGCAAAATTTTCAAGTCTACCAAAATATGCTAGAATTACACCCGTGAATTAGAGCTTCCATTCTGCGTAGATAAAATGCTAGCAGTCCTTTTCGCTGGCAAGTTATTCAATATTTTTTGCCTTTCTTTTAACCAATATTTTTCACTTTCTGGCAAAAAAAGTAAATTGCTTTGAAAGTAAAAGCTGCTGTTGTCTTGGATCTTGAAGATGGTGATTCAGATCTTAACAAAGTTCATCTTTGTTTCTTTTGTTAAAAAGATGTGTGAAGGTCATCTTGTGCACTTTATTTGTTACAGCTCCAATTCAAATGCTTCTATTTATTGTTAGCACTGAAATATGTAACAAAAGTGAAAAATTATTTCTTCCATATCCAAGGATGTGAAAATTTATTACTAGATAAAATGATTGCAACATTTTGTTTCATTATTATATATTACTAAAAAAAAAATGGACCTACATATATAGAAAACAGTTTACAGAGATTCATATTTCGATCGTATTTCAATATATTTGAAAAATGATCTTCATGGATAAAGTTGCAATAAATTTTGAATTCTTTGTTTTATAAACAGAGGATTATTCATGCTGTATAAAAATGATTTACTTATATTCTATAATGACTTGTTACAGCACATGCAAGCCATGATGCAGTTTTTAGCACTTATAAATTTGCTTCACTGTGGGATCACAGCCATTCAACAATGCAATGACAACAGAGTAGGTTTATGGTTGAAGGGAATATTACAGTCCACCTTGATAAAGGGTAATCATAAAGATTGTTCAACAACGTAGTCATATAGATAACATCTCAAGTCTATTATGATGAAGGTGGGTATACTTCATAGTACTGTTATAATAATTAAGGGATCAAAGTTGATGAAAGCTTACAAGCCAATAATTCCTAAGTTTCCAGCCATATCTCAAAATTAACAATTGTTTTAAAGAAAAAGATAGCTGAAGAAACTGGAATCACAGCAATTCTATTCAAACACTTACTTGTCAAGTTTTCTTGAAGTTATTCCAGTGAAAGTTTGTGCCTTTTGTCTGCTGAACTTAGTTTTGGAAGCTGATGTTCATGAATAGTGAATGATCTGTGGAAATTTGTCAAAATGGGTGGTTTGAGACTAACCTTACCAGAAGCTTGTTGTAATGAAAACTGTATGGTCAAGCTTGTTTGTTTGTTTTAGAGCAAAGCCACATTTAACTATCTGCTGTGTCCACCACAAGGAATTGAACCCTAGATTTTAGCATTGTAAGTCCACAGCCTTAATGCTATCCCACCAGGGGATGTAGGGTCAGGCAATAGTGTGTGCAATCAAGACCAAATGACTGACCATAACTGATAATGGAGATGTAATTCCAAAAGTACCACAGGACCTGGAGCATTATTGTTATACAATGCTATTAGCCCTTAGTACACATACATACATAAATGTTCAGTTTTTACAGCCCACAAGCACTTTTACTGTAGGATGTGTTAGATGTAACATAATTAAGATTATTTTAGAGTAAAAAAGAATGGTTAATCAGTTAGAGAGGGACAAACCATGCAAAGCATTATTAATATCTAGCCTAAATCACTGTAAGTGCTTTTATACATTCTGGTATTAAATTTTTTATATTTGTCCATAAAACTATTTCTGTAAGTAGCCTGATGACTCACAAAACAGTTATGAGAAAAATGATTGAATAATAAACAATTTTTATGTTAACTAAATTTACTAAAACTTATTCCAGAGTAAATTTGTTTGATGCAAACTTGTCATTAATAAATACAAATCTTATACTAGCATAACCTGTGTAATGTATTTTTAAAAAAGTTAAAAAAATATGTTCAGTATGAAAAAGCTCAGATAAAAATATCAGTTTATCTCAAAATTTAAATGAGATACACTTATTAAAAAAACAATTACAAAGATATGGAAGACTAATTATTAAAAGAAAAATCTACTATTTATCCAAATTGAAGTGACAATGTCATATTATTGTTTTAGTGGGCTCCATTTGAGTATCATTTGTTGATGTTAGAAATAGGGGGGGATACATACACACACATATATTCATAATATGATTACCTAAGTGAAGCTTAGAGGTAACTAACCAAAACAAAGCCTCACAGGCAAAAGTATAACATAAGAACAAATGATCTTTCTCTTGAAAGACTTGTGGAAGTTCAGTATTCATTTGTTGGCACACAAAAATAATATTTTGCAATAAATTTTTCCTATACAGTCTCTATCGGATTGTTATTCAAATTCCAAATGTTAAATGCAGTTCATGTATTAGTGTAGTTAAAACTTGCTCACAAAACTAGTAAATCCACAAAACATGAAATTTATTGTCCAGCTGTTAAGAAATTGCTAATTCCACAAACAGTATAATGACATATTCACAATCTAATCATTTTCTACTTATGGAACAAATGCGATGATATTAATGATACACCATTAAAACAAAACAAGTTCTATACTTAAAAAAGTGTGTCTGTGTTCAACTGTACAGTTACTTTTTCTGCAAAACAGTCAAGCAGCCACAGATTGAGATGTAGATATAATGTTACTGAGAAAGGAGTTTTTAGAACTCATCCTATCAGCTGCTAGCATCTTATTTTAAGGTTTCCATAGCTTCAGAAGACCATCTTCACTGTACGTACTAATCAGATTTTGATGTGGATGATGACTAATACCAATAACTTCTTTCTCGTGAACCTGAAGTAGAAAGAAAGATAACTTTAATATCTACCTGACTGAATATAAAAGTCACATAATGGATGTAAGATACATTTATTTCTGATCATTTACAAACTTCAAATTTCACATTACATTTACTAGGTCTTATACACATGAAAAAAATCTGTATTTGACCTTACAATAAAGCTACTTTACTAGTATTAAAGAAATTAAATGTTTTTTTTTAATTGACTAGTTTGAAACAGCCATGTTTAAAACAAATGGTTAATATTTAAATTTTAGTAACAGAAATTGATAAACTAAAAAAACATCTTTAAGTAATAAAACTGAACAATAAATCTAATAGAAATTAATGTATTCTAACCAGAGCTTGCTACAGTATAACATGTATTATGATTTTAATGTTAATGTTGCTGCACTTATCAAGACAAAAACTTCTTAAAGACCAACAGCCAGATTTCAAAGAACAAAGACTAAAGGTATATTAAAACTATTTTTAGCTAATACTGATACCAAATCCAATATGAATTTTTGATGTATTGATACTATAAACAATATTATATAATGGATAGTAAATTATCTGGTTCCAGGTTATATGAATCATGTCATGTCATCAATTAACCCTCCCACTACAGGCTCGGTGGATTAAACTGACCTTGTGATCCCAAAGTAACCATCACTTTCCATATCATAACTTTTAATATCTTTTGTGTATCTTCACAAAAATTTTCAAACTACTAGTAAATATTACAAGTGTTTTATAGACAAAAAGCCAGAATTTTAAATTAAGTACTTTTACTAAACATTTGTCTGTGAATACATGGGGTCAGCGTGTTGACTGCTCTAAGTGCAAAGTTATTTTCATGTTAAGATTAGAAATACTCTTCTTCATCTGACAATTTTCAGATTTCATTTGTGTAATCTCTAAAACCTCCTAAATAAATATGAAACTTTTTTTTTCTCAGTAAAACTTTATATTTTATCTGTTATTTTCTCTTCCTCAACTGACCTTGTAATCACCATAAAAAATTAGGTAATAAATTTACATTTACATTTATCCTTTATAGAATGATTAAATTGTAAAAGGAAACCACAATTGTTTATTCTAGATAGCTTAAAGCTCAGAACACTATACACCTGTTTATAGTTAATGTTATTGTTATATTCTGTTTTGAACCTTGTTTAACTAATAATCCCACCACACAAGTTGTAAATCACTTGGTGAACATGCAGCTCATCATACCATGTCACATTATGTAATGCATGAGCTATGAGCGAGCATATGTCAAGAAGAATTTATCATTATTTTTCTTTTCATTACCTTACCTAATCTAAACTAATAAGTTTCTAATTTTTATATTTAAGTTACTTTTATGATAATAAATAAAGAATTAACATGAAAAATAAGAAATATAGTACTTACCTGGGTCTCTTGTCTTTTGGCTGTTAACTGTTATGAAACTTAAGCCTACTATTTTATACTAATGCTACTACTACACAAAATAACTTTCATTTAATTAAATAATGCACCTAATAATACAGAATAATAACATGCACAAAGTGAACAATATTCTATTAATATCATATTTTTCTGGCTTTCTATGTGATAAGAGCTTTCCAAAATTCAGCTTGTTGATGTGATTCCTTTGAGAAAAAAGTTTTAAACTGGAGAAGAAATAGACAATTCTCTGTACAGAAAACAACATAATATGTATTTTGATATATTAAAACTTTGAGTTTCTAATGGCTCTAAACAATATGGTATAAAACATTAGAGAGAGCTGTTGGCAATTTATGAAGGAGAAGATGTGACAGGTGGACATGGCAAGTTGGTCTTATTTCCTAGTTTATAGTTCCGTAAACAAATTGAAAGGTACAAAAATTATCCTCCGCTTGAGTAATATCATATTATAGTGAGTAAATTATGTTAAATTCCGTACTTCTCAGAAGGGTAGTAAGTAAATTATAGGAGAGACTGAAGATTTTTCTACATATTTCATTACAAAATTAAAACTTATATAATATTAAAATTAGATTTCTTTAACTATATTTTGATTGTTTGTTTGATTATTATGAATCACAAAGCTACACAAAGGGCTATCTGTGCTATGCCCACCATGGGTATCAAAACACAGTTTCTAGAGGTATAAGTCTGCAGACATATCGCTGTGCCATTGGGAGGGCCCTATATTTTGATGCCAAGTTTATTCATATACAATGATAATAAAGTAGTTTAATTAGAAAGTCATGACATGTACACTTTGACCTTCCTGTAGCAAGAGGCTTAACACAAGACCATTCCTTACCATATTCACCTTTCTTTCTTTAGCATAACAGAACAGGCATAATAATATTTATAAAAAGTTGTCTTTCAGTTTTATTCAGAAACTTACTGTTAATAAATTATTAATGAAATGGGTTAAGAAAACATGAAAGAGAACAAGACTTAAAAAGACTACAGTAATAGGAAACAGTTGAGCATGTGTATATAAATTTTCATGTACTTCTTTTCAAAAGCAGTGCCATGTGAATTTTTAGCTCATATGTTGGTTTCCCCATTTGTTTTTTTATAAAGCGAACTTTCAAACACAAAACTCTCGGGTTGCTCTTATCTAACTGAATAGTGGCATTTGAACATTACTCTTGTAGTGCACTCAAGGCCATAAAGAGCCATGGAATGCAAACCATGAGCTCTCATATTGACAGTTTAGGCATATAAACCATTAGGATACATCTAGCTCATGCTTCAGTTTATATAATTGCAAGACATATAGAGAAGTGTGTAATTCATATTGTTGTATGTCCAGTACAACAAGATTAAAGCAATGGACAAATATATTAATTCTATCAGTCAGTTTATGTTTTAGATCAGTTGAGGAACAAAGTTTGCAGACTGACATTACAACTATTCCACACCTCTTCCATGACCTGAAAGTCTAGTCGGGGAAACCAATAACATAATTTTGAATTTTCTCAATGATTATAATGACAAGAAGTTTACTTAGAGTAAGTTTTGATTTCTTCCTAATGGGAGATTGAACAGATAATACTTATTCGATGATGAAGAACTCACTTTGAGACTAATAATGCTTGGAGACCTGATGATAACAAAAACCTTGTTGAAACATTGTACATTTGCTGTTATGTTAAACTTATATTAAAGTTTTTTCTTCATTACACATTTAAGCCATCTCCAAGCATTATTAGATAATACTTAAAAACTAATTTGAGACCATTCAATTATTGTATTCATCTTAGATTATAGCTGTTTGGTTGTAGGCTGTTGAAGAAAAATAAAACAAAGAAACAATTAAATATGATATAGTATAACATGGATTTTCTACCCCATAAGTTAATGGATAAATTTTCCAAATTTATGAAAACTTTAGTTTTTATTCTTAACATAGTACATCGGATAAAGACACTGTAAAATTTATCTTGCTGTAGTTATTCATGGGACTGGGTGAGTCACCAAAGACATCACATGTGCTTCACAGGAAGGTCAGGCGATGGCCTACAGAAATGACATCCATTGCTGACAATGTTAGAGGCCCTCAATCACACAGATGGTATGTGTGTCTGGAGAGAAGCTTAAGAATATATTACTGTACTCTCTTTGTTTCTTCTAGATTTTGTTACAGATTTAGAATTATAAACTTGTATAGATCTCTAGAAATATTTTCATATGGATTGTTTGAGCCAGGACTTTGTTAGACAGCTTTCAGTTTCAGTTCACTTCAGAATGTGTGAACTAGAAGTAGACTGACAAGAGAACATGAATAAAATTCTTTCTCCTCTGTCGAAATTACAGCACCAAAGAACTTGTCTAAGTTAGTGTTGTTTTAAATAAAAGTTAACATTTTCATAAACTAAAATTGTATTTCTGACAGATACTTACCTTTACTCACAAAACTCACCAAAAGCTCTCTCGATTTATACTGCCTTCTATCGGAAAAATTTTTGCTCTCCACTACCCTTATTACTACAACTTATTTTTGCATACTAAAATGCACATGATTATGCAGCAACCCTCCACCAATAGGTGTGCAACACTACCCCTATCGTAACTAGAGCCCTCTCTAATCTTGCAAATGTTAACCACTTCTTGATTGGTAGTCCTATTGAACAGACATGTTTTTGCTCACGATTTGATTCACTTATCCACAAGTTTTTATTTTCTTAATTTTTCTACTTTAATTACATTGTTCTTTACTGTTTCTGTTCCCTTTTGTGGAGAGTTACGAATTATTTTATTTACTTTCTCTCTTCTCTTTCAATTTCGTGAGTTATGCACTTGCAGTTTCAAGTGGTCATGACTTCAATTGCTGCACCAGATTACCCGATGTTGTGTATATGGCCACTGATATAAAGGCTGATGTAATCAGGAAGGAATTTACACCTTTCGTGTCTGTTGGTTTTGTGTATTTGACAAATGACACTGGCAATCCCATACTCATACATATTCTACGTGATATTGGGGCGACTCAATCATTGTTGTTAGAAGGTATATTGCCTTTAGATTCGAGTTCTGCCACTGGTGATTCTGTTATTACTCAGGGTATTGAGAGTAGCTTTGTTAATGTTCCTCTTCATAACATTTATTTAGCATCAAACCTAGTTTCAGGACCAGTTGTGGTTGGAGTAAGACCTACTCTGACAATTAAGGGTGTATCATTATTGTTGGGAAATGATTTGGCTGGGGGAAAAGTTGTTGCCGAACCTAAAATGGTTAACGAGCCGATCACTGTTTCATCTAAGGATGATATTGTAGTTGAGGAGAATCCTAATGTGTTTCCCTCGTGTTGTGTGACTCGAGCTCAGGCTAAGAAATTAAGCCAAAAACAAATGATAGACATGGATTCAGAGGACGATAATATAGATTTGTCTCAGACATTTTTTGGATCTAACAAGAATCTTGTGGATAAGTGTCTTACTGATGATTTCTCGGTGAGGAACGACGATGGACGTGAGAGATGTGATTCACCTGGTGAAGTTCCATTTACTAAAAGTAAAGTGAT